TTTGCAAACTATGAATTTGATTCAACATATCACCAGTTTGCCTAAGTAGCTAACCAAAATTCTGTCATTTTGAACTGATTTGGCTCTCTGCTAATGAGGTCGGCTTCAGACAAGCGCTTAGATCACTTTGATTTGGCTGGTAAGCACCCCTAGTTGATATGAGCAATATCCACCTACTCATAAAAATCAGTTAGTGGTACAGACCACCATGCATAAAACTCGAGAGCACATTATGGAGATTAACTGACCATGAAATATGATCATTTTAGAGTACATCCAATTAATGCACTTGCTTCTAGTAGTATAGGTTCTTAGCACATTTACTTTTTTTGATTTTTGATTACGGCTTGATTCCACGCAATATCTTTGGTACAGGAATGGAATTTTCAGCATGTGACATCGGCAGCCCAAATTTTGCAGGCTGACCATTGATATCAGGTGTGAGTCGACAGAGGATCGAACTCCAGTCCATGTGCATGATCGGCGAGAGTCCTAACCACTCTGCCACCGACGGCGAACACTAGTCAGCAAAAGTCAAGCGATCATTCACCAATCAATTTTAACTGAACATATTACTGTTATTAATATTGCTCCCTTGGGTTCCTAGTGGAACATAGGGCTTCAACTGCACGTCTCCATTTGCTACTTCTGTCTTCTGCTGTACTTTTCGCCTGCATCCATGTTAGTCCATATTCTTTCAACTCCTCTTCACACGATCTCCTCCATGTCACCCTTGCACTGACGTCCCACACGCCGCTTCCCTTTCGGGTTCCACTCGAGGGCTTGACGCGCGATGTCACCCAGCGGTCTCCTCAGCGAGTGTCCGATCCATCTCCACTTTCTCCTGCATATTTGTTGGGCGATTGGTTCTTGCTTTGTTTGTTCCCATAATTCCTTGTTGGTGATTCTTTCCGGCCATCTGATCTTCAGTATAGAGCGAAGACAGTTGTTAATAAAGGTCTGCAACAGGCTGTTGGAAATATTCTTTGTGACCCGCCCGCCAAGTTTCTGATCCGTATAGAAGACTGACTGACTTTACGTTTGTATTGAAAATCCGAATTTTGTTGTTGATGCTGAGTGACGAAGATTTCCAGATTGATTTCAGGTTGATGAATGTGTTTCTCGCCTTCCCGATTCTCGCTCGATTTGACATCCTCGTCCGCTCCTCCTGTAGTTGAGACAATGCTCCCTAGATAAGTAATGAATGAAGTAACCTCTTTCAAATCCCTCCCGTTGATGGTGATTGACGTTGGATGCTGTTGCTGTTGTTGGTTGGTTGGTTGGTTATTTTCATAACCTCCGTCTTGTCTATGTTCACCTGGAGTCCTGTCTTCGCCGGCTGCTTCTTCGACCAGTTTGTCGGTTTTCGCTTGTAAGTCTTCGATTGTGTGTGACATCAAACATAAATCATCCACGCGCGAAATCCAGGTCTTCTAGGTTCTTCACGTCGGTCGCAGGATATCCCTGTCTTCTCGTTTCCCACTCAGTGTCTGACGCATAATCCAGTCCACCACAATTAGGAATATCATTGGTGATAATAAGCAGCACCCTTGTCTGACTCCTGTGTTTACTCCAAACGCCTTGCTGAGTTTTCCGTTGTGGATCACTTGACACATGTGCCGTTGTCGTACAGCTGTTGAATAAGGTTGATGAATATTTGGGGTACGCCATAGTACTCGAGTAATTTCCAAATTACTTCACGGTCAACGCTGTCGAAGGCCTTCTCAAAGTCTATAAAGTTGAGGTAGAGGTTTGATTGCCATTCCATGCTTTGTTCTGTGATGATGATGCGTAGAGTTGCAATTTGGTCAGTACATGATTTGCCTTTCCTGAATCCAGCTTGTTCTGGTCGGAGTTCTGTCTCCAGTGCGTCCTTTAATCTCTCCAGGATGATGCGACTCAGGATTTTACTTGGCGTCGATAGGAGCATGATTCCTCGCCAGTTCTTGCAGAGTGAGGCCTAAGTCGCCCTTCTTTGGTAGTTTCACGAGGTAACCTTTCCTCCAGTCAGTAGGCACCTTTCCCTCCTTCCAGACCTTTTGCAATAATGGAGTCAGCATGTCTGCTGTAGTCTCTGGGTCCGCTTTCAGTGCTTCAGGGGGTATTCCATCTGGTCCGGCTGCTTTTCCAGCTTTCAGAAGCTTGATTGTGTTCAAGACTTCAGCTCTCGTTGGAGGATTGGTGTCAACTTGCAGTTGTGTGCGCGCTGTTGTTGGTATTTCTGGACGGGTTGCAGGTGATGGTCGGTTCAAGAGTCCTTTGAAGTGATCCGCCCATTGTTTAATCTGTTTTTCTTCCTTGGTAATTGGGTTCCCTTGGCTGTCTTTTATAGGTTTCGCTTGTGTTGATCTCTTCCCGGATAGAGATTTGGTTATCTGATATAGTGTCCTCAGGTCCCTTTTGCCTGCTGCCTTCTCAGCTTCAGTGGCCAGGTTGTCGTAGAATCGTCTTTTGTCCTTCCTAGCACTCTTCTTCACTTCTTTGTCCAGTGCTGTGTAAGTTGAGCTCAGCGTCTCTTTCTCCTGTCCGTCCTTGCATTGAATCATTTTCTCTTTCACCATTCTCCTCTCTTCTATTAATTTCCAAGTGTCCGTTGAGAGCCATTCCTTGTCTTGTCTCTTCTTTCTTCCTAGAACCGTTGAACACGTTTCGTTGAGAATCGCCTTCAGAGACTTCCAATGTTCTTCCACGCATGATTCTTCAGTGATGTCGCGTAGTGTTTCCTGCTTTGCTCTGACAGTTGCAGTGAAAGTGTCTTTTGTGGTTGTGTCCTTCAGTTTTGAGTGTTGAACTTGCATTGTGGCCTATCCCCAGCTATCCTCGAGGCTTTTAGTTTCACCTTGAAAGTCCCTTGTACTAGATAGTGGTCTGAACCCACATCTGCTCCTCTCCTTGACCTTGTGTCCAGTAGGCTCCGTCTCCACTTTCTTGAAATTGAGATGAAGTCTATTTGGTTCTTGGTGTTTCCATCTGGTGAAATCCATGTCGTCTTGTGTATATCCTTGTGTTTGAACACACTACCACCAATCACCAAATCATTGAAGGCGCAGAAGTCTGAGAAGAGTTCACCATTGTCGTTCATTTCGCCGAGGGCCTCACGACCCATGGTGAGTTCTCTTCCTGTGTTGTCTCCTCCCAGCTTCGCATTCATGTCGCCCATCAGGATTTTGATATCGCCATTTGGGACGTTGTCCATTATTGCTTGTAGTTGTCTGTAGAACGCCTCCTTCTTCTCTTGTTCTGAGACGTTTGTAGGCGCATAGCATTGAATGACTGTAACTTTCCTTCCTTTTGAGTTGAACCTGGCTGTCATTATCCTGGAGGAGATTGGTTCCCACTGCATGAGAGCTTTGGTTGCTGTTGGTGACATCATGATGGCCACTCCCTCGGTGTGCTCGTGGTTGTCCTCTGGGTGGCCGGAAAAGATTACTGTCTCTCCAGTAGGTAGTTGGCACCTTCCAGTTCCGTTCCATCTGCTCTCGCAGATTCCCAACACTTCTATTCTGTACCTTCTCATTTCAGCGGCTATCTGGGCAGCCTTTCCAGTTTCGTACATTGTACGAACATTCCAGGTACCCATCCTTACTTTTGCTTTCATCGAAAGAAGGCACATCGGCTGACTGGCTTCCCGAAGGCTTTCACCAGCCTGCGTCATTTCACTTCCCCGATTCCAGCGAAAAGTAAGGCTATTGCTTATTTTTTTAGAATTTTTAATATATTTATTCGTTGAAGTTTCTGTAGCGATTTGGTTGTTTTACAGGGGTGGAGTTGCTAGCACCACGCCCCAACCCTCCCTCTTTACGCGGGCTTGGGACCGGCGAGAAAACTAGTAAGCTAGTAGCCTAGCAAGCTAGTATCTGGCGTGGTTAATTTTAACTGAACAACAAGTCTACATATCTTGCTTAGCTACGGATGTGTCCTAGTGAAGAGTCACAAATAAGGACAAAACAGGTATTCAGTGTTTTTTAAATTTGGCAGTTCTTTTATTGGTTAATAACTCTTAGGAAATGAACCATGGTAGTTTTCATTTTTTTCATCTATAAGTTTTTTTTTATTTAGTTTAATGCTTTTCGCATATGAACTGTGAATAAATTATGTTTATCTATTTATTCATTTATTCGTGCTTTTAGTTACCCACAGTTTAAACCAGCTCAACATAAAATTCCTTGTGTGATTTCGGCTCATATAATTTAAAATTCGTATATACATATGCTCGCTACTTTCTCCTTTGACTGTTTATTAATCCATGGACTACAGTCATTTTCCCTTCACTCTTATCATCAGCAACACTTAGTAAGCAATTGATTTTCACCACCTTCTAAAGCCATATCTTTGCTGTCGTTTAGATACGTGTATTAAGCAATACATCGCCTAATCATTAATTTATATTTACTGAGTTTATCTTTTTATTTCTATTTGATGGATTTTCCCCGCTGAAGATGCGCAATCCAATAAGTGGTACATCGGTTGCGATTAACTCTTGTTCAGTTATGTTGCGTTTTGCTATTATTCACAACTTCATTTGTAAGTTTACTTCTGTTTCTAATAAATTCATTAGCTAATTATGGATTTAGGAAAAGATTATTGTTATGTGTAGGGGAATAACAGTTTTAGTAGAAATCAATTCAAACATTGAGTAGCGTAATTTTATTAATTAATTTATTGTCACACTGTTTGACTTTAAGAAAATTATCTATAAGAAACTGATGAATGATAAAAATCATAAAAAAAATCATAATAAATGATGCTGTGCAATGCAGACAATCAAACATAACTTATTGATTACCTCGTATACATTCGTATAAAAGGCTGTAAAAGCCTTTTTTTTATGTAGCTTTTTAGTATTCTGCTTATCCGACCCCTACTGTTCCCACTTAAAAAAAAGTAGATTAGTTAAATTCTGCTTATCCTAAGCAGTTTTCACAGTTTTGTCAATACATTTCTATATTGGGAGGCATAAAATGATACACAGTGAATTCTCTTAGTATGAGTCTTCTTTTATTATTGTTATTGTTATTATTATTTTCTGTCGTGAAACTAATGATACTACTAGTAGTTCAGTAATCAATAGAAACTGATCATTTTTATTACTTTTTTGCTATCTCTACTGACACTCATTCAGCACGCACCAACAGAAATCAAATTCTGTTCAAGTGAATGATAGAGAGTGACAGAGGGACACAAACTGTTTCTATGATATAATAAACTTTATACATAAAAAGCTAATACCAGAGACTGAGTCAAAGTTATTTACACTTGTTTAAAAGAACTGCTGTTTGTTTCTTTTTTTTCTTCTTCTTCTTGTGAATAATCAACTCTTTAATTTGATAAAACAAAAAAAACTATGCCTATTGAACAAAGATCTTATGGAGCACCATTGCATCCAGTTGGTGAAAGAAAAGCTGTGATTAAATATGTGGAAATGAGTAAAGAAATGCAACAAGATGCTGTACAGTCAGCTGCAATGGCTATCGATAAATATCATGATGACAAAGATATTGCATTGTTTTTAAAAAAAGAATTTGATCGTAAATATGAACCAACATGGCATTGTGTTATTGGAAGTAAATTTTCTAGGTAAGATAATTTTGCTCTTTAAAAAAAATACATTGATATGAATTGTCTTCACCAATGTTAACATTAAACTGCCATTCCTTTAAGGAGAAAAGAATATTTTATGTCACATTCAATATTCTTCAGAGTCCCAACTTTTCCAAGGAAAAATACTCACATAACATATTCATTATTATTATCAGCCTTATGATATTATGATTAGTTTTACACATAACATATCCACATCAATCTGAAACAGTTTTAATTTCTGTAAAACGGCAGTTGATATCATCACATTGAACACACTTACAGTATCATTTTTAGTTAAAAAAAAATGAACATGTAATTGTTCTACTTTAAGTTCTTTCCTACATAAGAGAAAGTGGAAGTGAAATAATTCAAGGTAATAGATAATGCTTACTTAGTCTGATAACAATAATTATTTAAAATCTCTATTCCCCTTAAATAGATTATTTTAGGCAAGTGGTACGTATAATAACAGGACTTTTAATATGCATGATCTATCTGTCACATAATAATTTTCTTAAACAGTAAACATTTTAGATAACTGTACTTTTTTCTCGCATACTTTGGTAGCGAAAATATCTTTTACTTGAAAATGCTATCTGTTGAAATAAAAATCCCTCGGGTAATAAAGTTGGTAAGAAAATAAAGAAATATACGCTAAATGAAGTGTATTCAAACGGTTCAGTACTATACTTTTATAATATAACTCTATATTGTTTAGTTAAGAACAGTGAGGTGTCGTGGAATTGATGGTAGGATATATATGTTGCATTAAAAGAACGTAAGAGGTACTCATTCGGTAGCGATTTTTCTGTGATATGAATGTTCCGGGACTAATTTACTTAATTTCGGTGAACTCTAAGTAATATCTTTTGATAATACTGGATAAATTCAATCTAGAGGATTCAATGAGTAATATGAGTTGCCAGTTGCTCTCTGTTATTCAGTTTTCATATGACATTTCATGAGAAATAACTACAATAAGAGTAAACCATTGTTAAGCAAGTCGCATAACTTTCTTCCATTCTTAACTCAACACAACCAATGTTTGAAGTAAGTAAGCATACTGCGAGAACTAAGCATAATTATTTAATAAATCAAAATAAATTCTTCTGTATTTTATTCACTAAAATTTCTTATTTCTCTGTTTCCTCTTTTTTCTATAACATTTTAGTTACGTGACGCATATCAAACAATTCTGTATTTATTTTTCACTTGAAGATCGTGGAGTTCTGTTGTTTAAAACTGTTTGAACTATGCAACAATTTTTCTCTACCCTTAAACAATATTGATAGTCATTACTAATGTTGATATCAATTCAATATCATAAGTTGGAAGAATAAACATAATTCTGTAAAACAAAAACATACAAATCTTTTCTCTCTGTCTCCCTATCTCTCTCTACGGTGCATGATTTTAGAAGGCTGTACAAACAGAACTGAGCTGAATAGCTGATATTCTTTCCTAAAGTGAAAGGACTCAAAGGATTCAATACCTAAAACTAGGACAAAAATAGCGTAGTTTTAGGTTAAATATCTGTTAATTTGAATTCATTCAAACAACAGGCTAATTACGCGATACGTGATTAGCGCTGCTGATAAGAAAATCAAGCAAGTGTAGTCAAATTTATATTTAAGATGTGCGCTGGTGGCACAGCCGTTAGGACTCTCGCTGGCAATGCACATGGTTCAAGGTTCGATCCCCTGCCGATGTACACCTGATATCAACGGTCGGCCAGTAAAATTTGGGCTACTGAGATCACATGCTGAAAATTCCATTCTTATACCAAAATATGGTCTAGAATCAAGCTAAAATAAAAATAAAAAATAATTCAAAACTTTGCCAGGGTTACAGTCGCATCCATAAGAAAAGACCAACAGGCTGCCATTTGAGATTTGAACCAAACAAAAGGATCTGAGAATAAATGGAACGACAATAGTTGTATTCATCAGGAAACAAGATGAAGCAAAATGATAGAAAGATGAGCATTATGAAAATTAAATTTAAAATTAAGGAAGACCAGTCAGCAAATGGTCTATCCGGTCAAACAGAAACACTAAGGTTTGATTACTGATAGCTCATAAGTACACGGGAGAACTAATAAATGTATAAAGAAAAGCCAGTAACTCCTATTGTTCTGTTAAGAGACTTGTTAACGTATATAGAATTTTATTTGGTCCATCTTCATCTAGTAATGTTATAAATACCTAACGTCTGATGCCATATCTGCTCACGTGCTTAAGACAAGCATCAGTCAGTGAGCGTGAACACCATTAATGTTATAATCAACTAGTAATAAAATAGCACACTGTCTGAATAATCGAAAAGAATATGGGCGTATTTTTTGATAAATATGATCAACTGTAAGAGCAATGTACTGCATAGATTTTAATGAGTACTCCTCAAAAATATTTATTAAGTAGTAATACGGTGATCAATTTTATGATATTCATCTGAGGAAAATAACAACTGTAAGAAAGATTAGTTGGGAAGACGGAATTTTTTCCCGTTAATAAAAAGATGAGTAAATTTCTCATCCTTGAGGAATTAGTAGTAACGCCAAATTGTTTATCATCTATCAGTTCACCAGCTTGAGTTGAGGTGTAAATACTAGGCAGCTGTTTTGCTCTTGTTTGGGACCCTTTAGTAGTACACACCCATGACCCATTAGTACCTCCCCAGAACTTTTCATATTTCCATGGATCTCTAACTTAATTTAGTTCCTGATCAAGATAAATATTACCTTTCAGAATTTCGAGTTTTTCTCCCAAGAAAAGAAAATTCTTGAAAGATACAAAATGTTCTCTAATGAACTTTTAGGATAAAGTGATAGAATAGTCGGGAAAAACCCAACTAAAATTAATCCGTGTGAATTACTGATACCAAGTGTTGGAGTTAGTATTTTAAGGTTGCAGGTACACCTTGCTGATGCGTGCCAACTAGCACGAAACCTAGGTTCAAGGCTTCCTGCCGATTTCCTCTAACCATCCAATATCATCAAATTTTAAATCCTTAAACAATATTTCGGTTGACTGTTACAAATATAGGAAATGTAATACCACCATTCATAAAGGTGGATGTTTATTTTAGTTTTAGGCGATAAGAATCAGTTGACTGAAGCTTAGGAATTAAGCTTATATTTCAACTGATATGTTCTAAATATACATATTTGAAATTCTAAGTAATAAAACCGCCATTCAGACAATCCTTGTCCCATAATGAACTCAAGTATGTAAGTTTATCGTAGTGTTAGACATTTATGTTGATTTCTGCGGAATCTGAAAAACTCATCAAAGATACTTATAAGTTCGGCACTGAGTGATGATATTACGAATACCTGGGTTCACAAAATTCGTAAGTCTATAGCTCATGCATTTTCCATAAATGCTAATAAACAAAGGACTTATACCAGAGAGACCACTATACTTGCTGAGTTTTAAGACGCATATAAATGAAGTTGGAGTGCTTATTAAAGAAACTAGTGATGAATGGGATTCCTGGAATGTGATAAGATATAAGTTCTTACTGAGTAGCAAAAACGTTTCAGGGATAATGTTGGCATACAAGTTATGCATTTTGGTCATGGCATAAAATGTTTCTAAAACAATGACTCAAACAGATAAATACATTTAAAAAAATTTGATCAGTAATGGTCTGAAATCTAATAGATAACGTAAGAAACATTTGTTTCCCTATAGGAATTGAGAACAAGCAAAAAAAGGTTAGTAGAATTAGATTCAGTGAACTCGTCAAACCTCGATAGAACTCTTCAGCTGACCACTCCTTATGCAATGATATGCATGCCAATAGAAAGACATTGGGAGATAAGTAACTCATAAGTAAACAAACTACATGAAAGCAATCATGCAAAATGACAGGTGCAAATGTTCTACAGGTAAAATTCAGATAGATAAGAGGAGACTATGATAAGGGATTACAGTTCATTGACTTCAATTAAATAAACAGACACTTATCAGAAAAAGAACTAGAATATTTCAGGAATTGGAGACTGAGAAATTGCAATGATGAAACGAATTAATATAACTGAACTGACAAAAGACAGTCTTAAATGAGTCAAGGATAATAATAAAAGATGGAGTAAAGTATAAGTAAAAGATATTACCATGGTAGATTTCCTTCTGTATAAAGAGACCAAGTCTACAAGCTCTAATTGTACGAGCTTCCGCAAATGCAAGCATCTTTCTGCTTGTTTGTCTGCTGACAACAGTGAATAACTTAACAGCGTCATTATGCTATCCATAGTCTACAAGATGCATTGTTGCCTAACGTTTTGAAACCTTGACTTCAGATATCATTTACCCACTTGGGCACATGCTCCATCAAACAAGTAGAAAACTGCCCTTCCACAAACACACCCGAATTGATATACGCAGTTTGAAGTGCCAAGGACTGACAATCCGTCTTTCCCAGGTTGTTGAAGCACTCGAATGTATGCGTTAATGAACACATGCTTTGCAGCATAATACAATGTCCTTAGGGCTTCACCAAGTCTTCATGCAACTGTTTCTCATTTATGATCTCTTTTAATTGGCAGACTGATGTACACAGCTTTCTTTAAAACTGTTTAAATAATCCTACACAGGATATATCTAATTACGTTCATAACTTATCTAATGTTTCCCCGACAGATTTTGTGTTCGTCATATGAATAATTACCATTGGCAGCTATTGGTGCAAAGAGTGAATTCCCATGCAACTTTTTGTTTAGAACCATTATGGAATTTATGTTTATTGAATGTACATTCTTTTACATTTCTATTTATCAATCAAATAGGTTGAATATTTTAAAATACACAACTTATATCTAACTATATAGAACAATGTATTAATACTTTATTAAAGCAAATAATATTTAAATAATGTGTACAGAAACAGTCATTATCATTCATCTTAAAATGTGAACTCCCATTTAAAGAGTATTCAAAATCATTTCAGTAGCATTTCTTCAGAAAAAGTATTGAAAAATGAATGAGCTCTGCTACAATCGATCTATGTGAATATAACCTAATAATGTATACTAATGTCTACATTCTACTCTGTCAATAATTATACCATCAAAAGTAGATTTTATCTCTTCAAACAAAACTAGGATTTTATATTATTTTCTTAATCTCTAAGTAAATAGATCTTAACTTAAATTCATAACTTTTCACCATTTAAAATATGTACCATACTGTGCTAACAAAGTATTTACTTATGTTCAGTTGAATCAATAAAAACAGTGCTACTACACAATAAAAGGAAATAAGTCTTTTAAAATCATATATTTTAATATTTATGTGCCATTTTATCTGGAAACAATGAAGAAATTAATTACTCCCCTCTTATCGAACTTGAACTGTCATAAAACTTCAGTTTATGGTTCTCTTTCCACTGATTTCATTAATTTAGACGTCAAATATTACTGCGCTTTATATATCGGTATTAAGAGAATGTCTTGCCAATTTTTTTTGTGTGTTTACAAATTGAATATACTTCATGGGATGATTACATTACTGGCAAATGTCTACTAATCCAATCTTTTCTGACTCAACCGAATCAATCTAATCAAATGTTGGTTACATACCTTTAACTAGGGTCACACTTGTTTCATGTATTTGTCAATTTATGAGATAACATCAAATCTACACATCTTTCATGCGGTTTAAGTGAGCAAACATCAGTAAAAACTTGGCTAAATCATGCTGAAATTTCAAAAATATCCTTTATTATCCCAATATTTTACAAGCATGACACTCTTCTTGATATCAGAAAACGAAAGACTTTTTTAGTAAGGCCACAAGTACCTTTCTTAAGCGGCTATCTATACTAACTTCTCCTGTTCACATGTGTTACACGAAGACTACTGTATGACTTTTCAAGTGGGCACAAAACAAGTGATCAGATTGTAGGGCGTAAAGCACAAGTAAATACACAGAACCAGACACAGAAATATCATCAAACAAATGGTAGATAAAAAGTATATTTTGGAGAAATACTTGCTAAAAAATACTTGAAAATATTTCCAACCACAGCTGAAAAATAAAACAGATAAGAAAATCACAGAAAAGAAACAAACTTTACTAGAAGATGTACGCAATATGCTGTCAACACCTCCGATAGTGGAGGGGGAAACCGAATTTATACTTGACTTGTCCAAGAGAATTCCAGCCAAGACAGAAGAACAAACCCTGCAAAATTACGAAAACGTCATCACAAAATTAGACGTTTTACTGCGTAATATTTGTTATGGAACACAATAGGATTACCCGAAGAAAATCACTGAGAGGTGTGATAACCAAATAGGAGAACAATTTCGGGAATGTGGCGGAGCATAATTCCATCATAGAGTATTTTTATC